GGGGGGGCTGGGGATTGAGAGGACCCTGGAAAAGTAGAAGGAACAAGGAGAAGGGTGGAAAACGGGGGGTGGTCTGGTGGGTCCAACTGGTGGGACCATGGGGGTCTTCGGACACCAGGAGGCTGGGAAAGGGGGGTGGCCCCCCTGAGCTCCCAACTTCCTGTGGGGTGCTGGGGGCTGCTGGATCCAATCTCAGCCTTGGATTACGCCAACAGTTTCAGCTTAGAGGAATTACAGAGGTGTGACTGAAACACTTTTGTCCCCCAGGTTTTAATGATGGCAAATCAGATCTATTGATAGAAACGAATTTATTTAGGGTTACAAATGATCAAACAAAAGATCTTCATCAGAATTATTTACTGCACAACAGAAACACTAAAACTACCAGGAGTACAGGATAAGATAGGACAGTGCTCTACACTAAAGCAATTCTTGAAGCAATTCTACTCAAGCTGGCACAAAAGCAAGAATTCTTAATTAGAGATGGATGGAACTCCCCCAGACCAACGCTCGTGGGGAGATCTCTGCTCTCAACCTCCAGCAGTGACCTTGGGGGGTCCCCAGCCAAGGCAGGAATCTCCACACACCCCCCAAGAAGGGTTCTGTTGGCAGAACCTGCCCCTGGGAAAGGGGACTGGCCCTTTTTGGTTGAAAGGGATGGACTGACAGTCACTGGACTCCAGGGGTTGCCTCACCATCAGGGGCTTCATTCGGGATGGAAGCAGCAGCCAAAGATCTTCCTGCAGTTGGGACATTGGTAGGGCTTCGCTTACCGGTGGGTCCGTTGGTGTCTAGTCAAGGCAGAGCTGTGGGTGAAGCTCTTCCCACACTCCCCACACTTGTAGGGCCTCTCCCCGGTGTGGATGCGCCGGTGGGTGACAAGGTTGGAGTTCCGGTTGAAGCCCTTCCCGCAGTCGGTGCAGCGGAAGGGCCTCTCATCTGTGTGTGTCCGCTGGTGCACAAGGATATCTGAGCTGGTCCGAAACCTCTTCCCACATTCCAAGCACTTGTAGGGCCGTTCCCCAGTGTGGATGAGCTGGTGGGTACGGAGGGCGGAGCTGTAACTGAAGCTCTTCCCACATTCCACACACATGTAGGGCCGGTCCCCAGTGTGAATGCGAAGGTGGGTGAGGACGTGGGACCTCCAGATGAAGCTCTTCCCACATTCCCCACACGTGTAAGGACGTTCCCCAGAGTGAGTCTGCTGGTGGGTGAGGAGGTAGGACCTCTGGTTGAAGCTCTTCCCACATTCCTGACATGTGTAGGGACGTTCCCCAGTGTGGATGCGACGGTGTCGGATCAGGTGGGAGCTGTTCCTGAAGCTCTTCCCACATTCCCGACAAATGTAGGGCCGTTCCCCAGTGTGGATGTGCTGGTGGCTGAGGAGGTTGAAGCTCTTCCTGAAGCTCTTCCCACATTCCAAGCACCTGAAGGGCTTCTCCCTGCTGGGAGGCTGCTCAGGGACCACCAGGTCCAAGCTCCCCCTCAAGCTCCGGCCGCCTTCCCGGCACAGGCTGGGTCTTTCCTCCTCAGAGCACCCTGGGCTGGCTTTGGAGCCCCTCCTGTGGGGGGATCTCCGGCCCTTTTCCTCCCCGCTGCCTTCCTGCACCGTGGAGCCCTTCAAAATGGCCTCTCCCACCAGGGTCTGCCAGGGGGATTTGTCCTCCGGGCTCTCCGTCCTCAGCTCGGGGCCTGGGGCAGGAAGCAAGAAGGACAGGGAGGGGATTTGCCTCCGGCCCACAGGGAAGGCCAAGGACATCCCCCCAACTCCGGCCCCGGCAGGACGGCGGCGGCAGCGGGGTTGTCCTGCAGCCGGGGGCCATGCTGGGCTGCCAGAGCCAGCACAACACCCGCCCAAAGGGCCACTGACTTCCTCCTCACCTGCCTGGGGGGCCCAAGGCATCTTCCTCTTCCTCGCAGCCTCCTCCTCCATCTGCCCAAGCTTTGGGAAGGACAAATCCTGATGGGGAGAAAACAAGGGCTGAGCGCATTGGCTTGGGGGTTCCTCCTGCCCAAGTCCATCTCTAGAACTTACTGGGCATCCTGTGACCATAAAAACCTCCAAAACACCAAGATTCAGCCCAGAAAAACCCAAACTAGCTAAATTCAGGCAAAAAACCCCTCAGAAATAGCAAGAAGACCGTTGCCCCACCAAACTGCAAAAAGTTGAGATTCAGCTGAAAAATACTCCAAACTATGAAGATTAGCCAAAAAAAAACTCTCCCAGAAGTTCCCCCTCTCTGGTCTCTCCCCTCTGGGGTTCAGAGGGTCTCCACTCTCTGTGATGCTGGGGGTTTCACTTAGGGATGCTGGGAGTGCTGGGGGTCCCAAGGGTCCCTTCTCCTCTGACTCTTGCCTTCAGGGAGCCGCATCCCCAGAAATTCCCCCTCTCCAGATTCTCCACTTTGTTGTCCTAGGGGATCCCAGGGGTCCCCACTGTCCAGGCTTCCCCTTCTCCGTGCCCCCTGTTTCAGGCTCCCGGGGCTCCTCCCTCTCCGTGCTCCCATCTCCAGGTTGCCGGGGATCCCCCAGCTCCGGCATCGCCCCGCTCCGCCCACCATACTCGGCACCTCCCGGGCTCCACACCCACCCCCGGCACTCCTGGGGGGGGCCCAAAACCGCTGTGTCCCCCCCGCCGGCACCGGGCTGACAATGGAGCCGGCGGGGCCTGACCCAGCAACACCAACCCCCACCATGGGGGGGACCCGCATCCTCCCGCCCACCGCCGGGGCTCTGCCACCAACCCAGCCCGGTACCCCCAGAAAAAACCTCCCGCCCACCCCAAGAGCCCCAGGGGCGGAGCGGGAACAGGAACAGCAGGAGAACAACTGCCCCCCCACCCCATGGGTGCCTGGGAAGGGGGAACTTGTCCCAAATATCCTGGGGGGAGCATGGGGGGTTGGGACGTACTCGGGCTGCCAGCACAGATTTCCTACAAAGTCTGCAGTGAGTCAAGCTTTGGAGAGGAGATTGTGGCCCGTGCATGGGATTGTGGAGGGTCCCTCAGGTTCCCAGCAGGAATCGGCAACAAAAAAGGCCCCCCTGAAGATGTCAGGGGAAGTGTCCTGTAGGGAGGGGACGGTGTCACCCCACCAGGGCAGGGCTGGCAAGTGGGAGGCTGCTCCAGGGCTCTGCAAGAGGCCTCGAGCTCTGCTCGGCCCCAGCACTGGCTGCTACCAACACCCCCGGCTGCCCCCGGCCCTGGGCAGCTCTGCTGCCACAGGCTGTGCCCTCACCGTGGCCCTGCAATGGCCCTGCCTGTCCCTCACCCGTGGCCCTGCCCGTGGCCCTGTCCCTTGGCTCTCTCTCTGCCAGCTGAGTGTGGGGCACACGGGCTGGGGGTCCCTTCCAAGCCCCCCGGGCAGCCAGTGTTGGCTGGGGGGATGTGAGGGCTGGGCCTGCTCAGCACAGCCCCGGCCTCGTGCCCAGCGCCTCTTTCCTGCCCCACACAAGAGCTTCCCGGCCCCCCCAGGGCTCCCCTGCTGCTGCCTCTGCTCCTGGCCCTGCCTTTGCTGCTCCCTTGGCTGGGCCAGCGGCTGCAGAGGGGGGATGGCAGCAGCTTCAGCTCCACGGCACTGCCTGGGGGGGACGGGCAGGGACCTGATGGGGATGGACAGGGGCCCAGCAGGGACAGCCAGGGCCTGCAGGGGAAGGCACAGGGACAACCTGGACCCCCACACTGCCAGGGCTGTCTCTGCTCCTCCTTGCAGGCTCCATGGGCAGGCACAGTTTGTGTTCCTCAGCAGCACCTCTGCCTTGCACTTATTCTCAGACTCACCTCAGGGACAGCTCTGGGCTCACCTCCGTGCCACTTCTCAGCCTCACCTCAGGGCCAGGGCTCAAGGACATGAACCTGCAGGGAGGGAAGATGATGTGCAAGCTGAGGGCTGCCTGCTTCCACTGGCCTCTGGGCTTCTTTCTCCTTCTACAACCAGCCCAGAACTTATCCTGCTTTTCTAACACTGCACATTTACAGACTAACCTTGCAGACATATAAGGACAGACATCTCTATCACCCTGTGGATAGGGTCCTCCTGCAGAGCCCTCCTGCCTTCCAGCACATCAACACACCCCCAGCTTGGGGTCATCTGCAAATTTGCTGATGAAATGTCTGGTTCTGCAGGAGCTGGAGATGTTCAAGGGGCAGCAGGACCAAGTCAGGGGCCTGGGGGGCTTTGGGGTGCAGGAGGGTCCTGGGGGAGCCGGGGAGGGGCTTTGGGGATTGGGGGTACAAACCAGGACAGACCATTACAGACCAGGACAGACCAGTACCTCCTCACTGCTCCCCAGATCTCTCCTGGAGCTGGGACATGTTGTCCTGGGACACCAGAGACCCCCCCAGTGCCCTCCCAGTCCAGCCCAGCGCCCCCAGTACAGCCCACTGTGTTCCTGTCCCACAGTGCCGGGTGATCCCTCTTTGGGGGGGTTGGAAGGGATTTGAGGGGGGACTGGGAGAGATTTGGGGGGGGTTGGATCGGGATTTAGGGGGTTTTAGGGGGCTTTGGGTGCATTTGGGGGAGTTAAAAGGGTCTTGGGTGTCAAAGGGATCTGTGGGGGGAGGGTATTAAAGGGAAAATGGGGTTTAAGGGACATTTGGGGGGTTAATGGGGCCTGGGGGAGGAGAGGATGGGCAACACCATGAGCAGGTGAGTCCACCCCATGCTCACAGAAAGGCCAAGGGCATCTGGGGACACACTGGGGACAGTTGGGGGGCTTTGGGGGGCACTGGGGGATTACTGGGGGATACGGGGACACACTGGGGGGAACCAGGGGGCACTGGGAGGACTGGGGGGTTACTGAGGGAAACTGGGAGGGCACTGGGAGGGACTGGGGGGGAACTGGGGCACACTGGGGGGCACTGGCAGAGAACTGGTGAGTTACTGGGGGATCACCAGGACACACGGGGGGACACCGGGAGGTTACTGAGTGCTCACTGCAGGATCACTGAGCCATACTGGGGGGCAGTGGGAGGTCACTGGGACACACTGGCTGGTCACTGAGGGGGTTATTGGGCCATACTGAGGGTCACTGGGAGGTCACTAGGATATACTGGGGGCACTCAGATCCCCTTACCCGGATGTGGTACATCTCCCTCCCCGGATTTTGGGGGGCATCCCTAGAACCCCTCCTCTGGAGCCTGGGAGACCCCCTGAACCTCACTGCTGGGCTTTAGAGGACACCCCAAAATCTCCTCAAAACCCCTGAAATCCCCCTTCGACCCATCGAAACCTTCTCAAGGTCCCCTCAAATGCCCTCAGAGACCTCATCCCTCCGCAGCACCCCCTAAACCCTCTCAGTGACCCGCAAAACCCACCTGGGACCCCTCAAGCCCATTCAGGGACCCCTCAATCCCCCTCGGGGACCCTCGAAACTGTCTGAGACCTCTTAAACCCCCTAGAGACCCCAAAACTGCCGAAAAGGTCCCCGCAAAGCCCCCCAGGACTCCCAAACCTCCTCACAGACCCTCAAAGCCCACCTGGGATCCCTCAAATCTCCTCAGAAACCAAAACCCCCTTAGAGACACCCAAACCCCTTCAGGGACCTTCAACTTCCCCCCTGAGTCCCGTCAGGACACCGAACCCTCTCAGAGACCTCTCACAACGTCCCCGGGAATCCCCGAATCCCCCGCTAAGCCCTCCCGAGCTCTCCAGCTTTTCCGCCCACAGCCGCACTCCCCGCAGCCCCCGAGGGGATCCCCAGAGACCCGCTCTCGCCGCCCCCCCGTCAGCTCACACAGCGAACTGCAGCGGCCGCCGCCTTCTCCTCACTCCAACCACGCGGCCAACATGGCGCCCGCTCTGCCCGCCCTCCGCCTTTAGAGACCCGCCCCGCAGCCAATCAGCGCGCGGCCACGGCCCCTGCCCGCCCTCCGCCCCGCGTCCGCCACGCGTGGTGCATTGTGGGAGTTGTAGTCCTTGCGGAGGGGAGGATAGGAAGTTTTTGGGTTTTAGTTTTTCTGTCTTCTTTTATTGTCTCTTTTTTATTTCTTTCTTTTCTTTCTTTTTTATTTCTTCTTTCTTTTTTCTCCTTTTTTCTTTTTTCTTTCTCGTTCTTCTTCTTTTCTCTTTTTTCTTTGTTCTTTTTTTTCCTCATTTTTTTTCCTGTTTTTTCTTTCTTGTTTTCTCTTTTTTCTCCTTTTTCTCTTTTTTCTTCCTTTTCTTTTTTTATTTTATTTTTTATTTTTTTTTCCTATTTCCCTTTTTTTTACATTGTTTTCTATCAGTTGTACTTTCAATCAGTTGTACTTTCAAGGAAGATTTAAACACATATCAAAACAATCTCCACGTACATATCTTACAACAACAGATAATCTGCCATTGTTCCAGGTTCCTGAGGATTCCCAAGATCACAAACACTGAGACATCAAGGGTGGAAGTGAAGCAACTTTATCCTGTCCCTTGCCATAGCCTTCAATCCACACCCAGCCCTGGATTTCTGGAAAGTCGCTGGGCAGGAGCAGGAGATGGAGCTGGTGCTCGGCGGGAGGGGCAGCAACAACAAACCTGTGTCTTTGGCACAGGGGAAGGAATTTAGTGCTCGAGGGGTTACATTACACAGACTCCCCTGGGGATCAGCTTATGCCTGGACAGTAAGAACAGCAAGAACATTCCTAACAAAAATGCCAGAGGGAAGGGAGCGGAGGGGGAGCAGGGGCAGGAAAAGGAAGCAGAGCGATGGAAGATGGGCTGGGGCGGTCGGGGCTGGGGGAAGGCAGGCTGGAGATGCCTTGTTTTGTCCAGCAGCTGGACCAGCTCCACGGCAGATGTCGGGGGAGCCTCTGCCACATGGACACGCACAAACAGACGGTACCAAAGCTCTCAGAGTGGTTGGGGGCTCTGGGCGTGGCTGCGCTCTCGCCTCAAGCCAGGATATCCCAGGGCAGTGGAACAGCAATTCCTGTCAGCTCCCAGCAAAGATTAGTGGGGTTTGCAC